AATAACATTTAATAAAATATACGGCCAAAGAGGTCACTTGTAAAAAAAAAAAAAAAAAAAAAAAAAATAAATTATTTTTTTAAATATATATTCAAGTAGATTAATATATATAATATTCTTATTTTTTTATATAATTATACTAAATATGCTATATATTTATTGTTTAACTCTAAAAAGATTTTATTTAATATTGGTTCAAACATTAGAAAATTTAAAACATAGTTAGGAATTATATAAAATACAGTTAAAGTATAGTTAAAGTAATAATTATATTAGTTATAATGAATATTATTAAAAAATTAATAATTTAAATTGTGTGAAATAGGTTGTAATTCAGAAATTTTTATAAGTAGTATATCTTTAATCATTCAATTTTCTAAATTGACTATTTGACTTGAATAATACCAAAGAAGATATTAAATATATATCATATATTGCTCACATTTAGAGATAGGAATAGCTAGTTATTTTTAGCTTACTGTTTTGTAGCTATTAGCTATATCTCATAATCTAGTAATTCAAATTGAATAAATTTAGTCTGTATTATTCAATTCACCTCAATGGGATAAATCAACTGATACTAAATTGATTCAATTTAGATTACTAGATTACAAGATACAGCTAACTACACATAGCTACTATAGCTAAAAATAGCTAACTATTCCTATCTCTACTTATATTACTTTTAAGAATTTTAAATCAGTTTAGCTATTGATATCTAATTATACAGTTATAAACTATTTGACATAGGTACAAATATTTATGAAAATAAAAAGAAGTATTTAAAATTTGGTAAAAATAAAGATGCACTAATAGTATGATTATTTTTTTTTTACAAAGTCGAACTTTATTTTTGGTCAAACAATATTAAAACTATATTTTGAAATTTTCAATTTTTAAAAATATATATATATAATTTCTTTGATTAATACAAAATGTATTTGTTAAAATTTTAATATATCAACTACATTAAAAAATAAAATCTATTTTATATATATAAAGATTATATCTAAATAGCTTTAGCTTCATTAATAATAAATAAAATTATTTTATTAAGATAATTATATAAAAAAGCAATTAAATAATTTTTAACTACATACTAAATTTATAGTTATTTATCAACAATTTCAATAGTTTTAGTATTGATTTCAAAAATAAAAGTTATAATTCTATATTTAAAAATTTTTCCTTTTTCTTTCTAACAAAACTTAGTCTCTTTTTCTTCAATTGTATTGTTATTTAAATTTACTTAATTAAAAACTATATAGGTTTCTGTACTTATTTATTAATTGTATTTCCCTACTCTTCAAAATTGAACAACTTCATGATTCTTTGATATCTTTGTAAACCTTTAAATATATAATTATATTTTCTTTGGTAGTGTATATATTGGAAATTTTCTTTATTTTGAAAATAAAATGCAAAAATATTTTCTGAACAGGGAAATTCTATAAGCTTTAGGCCCTGAGTAGATCAGTAAGAGGTTAACCACTTTTGTACAAGATTTATAAAGGTTAAGCAAAATTGTTAGCAATTAGAAAAAAGAAGAATATAAAGAAAATATTGATTATGAAAGAACCTATTGTTTTTGTGTTTTGATGTTTTATGAGTCTTTAATGAGCCTTTATGAATATAAATTTTTGAACAAAAACTACAAAAATATAAGCTAGAAGTTATCATAATAAATAATAATAAAAATAGGTGTGATTTTTGTTTTTTAATATATCATGATTTTGTCATAACAAAATGATCAACATATGCGTCAAATTGGCAAATATGTATTAACATTAATCAGTGAAATTAAAATTATGAATATAAATACTTATTCATAAATCCTTAACTCTAAATCTTATTTATAATTAATTAATTATCTAATACCCTTTAAATAGTAGGTGAGTATAAAGGTGATTTATTAACATTAATCAGTAAATTAAAATCATAAACATAAATACTTATTCGTAAATACTTAACTCTAAATACTTATTTACAATTAATTATCTAATACCCTTCAAATAGTATATAAGTATAAAGATGATTTATTAATGTTAATCAGTAGAATTAAAATCATAAACATAAATACTTTTTTACAATTAATTACCTAATACCTTCAAGTAGTAAGTGAGTATAAAGATGATTTATTAATATTAATTAGTGAAATTAAAATCATGAACATGAACTCAAGATTATTAAGGGATCATATGATAAATTTACAGTAGTAGCTGCAACGGAATTTTTAAGACAAACTTCTACTAACCCCACAATGTCTCAAATGAATTTGTTCATAGAACAACCTAATAGGAGACAGTGGTCTTGGAAATGTCTCAGTTGGGTACCGAACAAAAAAAAAGAATATATTTTGGAGAATGATTCATAAAGCTTTACCCTTGGAAGTTAGACTAGCTCACTATATACTAGAGGAAACAGGAGCTTGCCTTTGGTGCCCCGAAGAACCTCAAGACCTAGATCATTTCATTTTGAAATATAGAATTTGTAGGAAGCTATGGGAATAAAAATACAGCTAGATGAAACTGGAGGAAGCCACACCACTCCTGACAAGTAGTCACAACAAATAATGCAAAAAGTTTTCACAATACTACATCTAAAGTTATCATATAGTTACACATTAACATAATATATGAGATATAGTACTTATATACGAACATGAAATGGGGTAACAGTAGGATCCCTGAAGCATCATTGAAATATATCTGAGAAGATTGAATTAAAAGAGAAGTTAAAGTAGTGCTAAAGTGCAACAGGCTGTACAAAAAAGAAAAGGAGTTGCTTTCTCTATTAATCAAATAATACGTTAATTGACCCCAAGAAAAAAAAAAAGGAATTGCTAAACACATTAGACAATTTGACACGTCAATTTAGATTTAATTTAGGTTTGTGTAACCAAGTCATTCAAAAAAAAGCAAAGCAAAGCAAATAATGTAATATAGAAAAATTATAGTAAATCTAATGAAGAATGCCAATCGGCAAAAAAAAAAAAAAAAAAAAAAAAAAAAAAAAAAAAAAAAAAATAATAAACAAAAAAAAAAAAAAAAAAAAAAAAAAAAAAAAAATTTAAAAAAAAAAATTAAAAAAATTTTTTTATAATAAAAAAAAAAAAACA